TATCCATAAATGCTAAAATTAGAATATCAACATTTTGCAATCTTCAATAAAATAATGGCTCTAGGCAACAATAATCAAGGGCTGCTAGAAACCTTTAGGTGAAAGGTTGGTGGGAGACTTTATAATGACGGATAAAGCTGACTGCACCCTGAGCCCACTGATCAATCTTATTATCACTAAAAAGGAAACAACCTGATATTATGTGCCTCCTGATGTAATGCAACAGGAAATACATAGCGTCACCTGTGAACTAGTCTCTCAGAAAAAGAAAATAAATTGAAACTGAACTAAACCAAGCCTTTAGATCTAATTACAATTTACAGTAAATTCAGGGGATAGAGAAATATGTTAACATTTTAAATCACATTGCTAGGATGCAATCAGCAAAATCGAGAACATGAAAATTGTGCATGGCAAATGATCCTATTTCTTCAACAAATAAAGAGCATTAAAAGAAGGAAAGTGTCAAAGGACTTGAACAGACATTTCTCCAAAGAAAATATACAAATGGCCAATAAGCACATGAAAAGATGCTCAACATCAGTAGTCATTAGGAAAATGCAAATCAAAACCACAATGAGATACCACTTCACACCCATTAGGACAGCTACTACGAAATTTTTTAAATTTTAAAAACAGAAAAAACATGTGTCGGCAAACGTGGAAAAATTAGAACCTTCATACATTGCTGATGGGAATGTAAAAGGTGCAGCTGCTGTGGAAAAAAGGTTGGTGTTTCCTCGAAAAGTTAAACATAAAATTACCATATGATCCAGCAATTCCTCTCTAGGTATATGCCCAAAGGAACTGAAAGTAGAGATTCAGATATTTACACACTAATACTCATAGTAGCATTATTCACAATAGCTAAAAGGTGGTAAGAATTCAAATGTCCATCAATAGACGAATGGATAAACAAAATGTGGCATATCTATACAATAGAACATCACTCGGCCATAAAAAGGAATGAAATTCAGACACATGCTCAATATGGATGAACCTTGAAAATATTATGCTAAGTGAAATAAGCAAGACACAAAAGGATAAATATTGTATGATTCCACTTACATGAGGTACCTAGAATAGGCAAATTCATACAAACAGAAAGTAGAAGAGAGGTTAGCAGGAGCTGGGGGAAGGGAGGAATGGAGAACTACTATTTAATGGATACAGAGTTTCTGTTTGGAATGATGGAAATGTTCCGGAAACAGATAGTGGTGATGGTTACACAACGTTGTGAATGTACTTAATGCCACTGAACTGTACACTTTAAAATGGTTAAAATGGTAAACTTTATGTTATGTATATTTTACCACAATAAAAAGGTTGCAAGTGAAAAAACAGGAAGGATGATAAAAAGAAACTTGAGAGACATATCAACCAAATGCCATGTACGCAATGTGTGAACCTATTTGACTCCTAATTCAAACAGACCAACTTTAAAAAGACAGTTTCTATGAAAGCTAAATATACGCATAACCTATGATCCAGCGATTTCACTTCTGGGTATATACCCACCAAAATAAGCACTTAGGTCCACAAAAAACATGTACAAGAATGCTCAGTGTGTTATCGAAGCTATAAACTATCCAAATGCTCTCAACAGTAGAATGTATAAATTGTAATAAATTCATACAACGGAATATTATATAGTAACTAGAATGAAAGAACTACTGCTTCACACAGCCACGCGGATGAATCTTACAGACCCAACACTGGACAAAATAAGCCAGATATGAAGAACACACGCTGCATGCCTCCATTTATATGAAGGTCAAAAATAGACAAAACAAATACACAGTGATAGAAGTCACAATGGTGATTACTTCTGGGGGGGTTATTGCCTGGAATGGAGCACGAGCAATCATTTGTGGTGAAGCAAGTGTTCTGTATCTTGATCTTGGAGATGGTTACAAGGGAGTATCATACGCAGACATTCTTTGAATGGTGCACTTATGATTTGCACACTTTGCTGTATACACATTACATCTCAATAAAAAAGAAAAAGACATGGGCCTAAAATGAAAAGTAAGCTGCCCCCAACCTCCAATCACTGTCTCTCATGAGAGGACGGGCCACACTGGTGGTAGTGATCATGAGCAGTGGTGGTGGTGGTGGCAGCCAGGGCGGCAGTGGCCATGTTACAAGAAAAAGTAAACTGAAGCTTCTATGGGGACTTTTTTTCCATAACCAAAATACCAGATAAGGCTATGGATGCCTCACAAGGGTAGGAGGCTGGAACTGAGACCTCCCATCCCCTTCCCCTATATAACATCAGGAAAATCAATGGCTATGGTCTCAAGGAACATTAGCTATCTTGGTTGAGGCTCTGGGCTGGAGGGACAAATTCTCCCTTGGGAATTTACAATCACTAGCTTACCTTCACACGGGTTTAGGACGTGATTTTATACTACCTTGTAGTTTAGGAAATTCTATCCTCTGAGAAACTAACATAAAGTTGTCCTGAGTTGGTAAAACAACTAGGTACCATATAGGAGCAAATAAAAATGGACAGGTTCTCAACCAAACGGACATGTGTGATTTAGCTCACAATCCAAAATACTAAAACCATGAAGAAACAAGCCACCCTGACCAAGAGTTGGCAGAAACAGCAAAGAGCAGAATTAGAGCCCCCAATTTCTTCAGATAATGGAATTGTTATAAAATATATTTTAAATGTCTAAATAAAAAATAGAATCAAAAACAAGAGAAAGGAACAAGATTATATAAAAAGACCAGATATATTTGGAAAAAAGAACAAAAAATAACTTCTAGAAATAGATAAGTAAATCAGGGAAATAGAAAACACAAAGTAAGAGGGTAGAGAGTAGAAGTATATCTAAAATATATTTACAGTTAGAGTAAATGTAAATAGATTAAAATTACCTCTCGAGAAAAAAACAGAGATTTTTCAGAGTAGACTAAAAACAAAATCCAGCCAAATTTTCTTTATAAGAGAAAACCTAAAATAGGAGAACCCAGAAAGGTTGAAAATAACAGAATAGAAAAAGATACGGCCCCGTGGCTTAGCGGTTAAGTGCGTGCGCTCCACTACTGGCAGCCCGGGTTCGGATCCCAGGCACGCACCGATGCACCACTTGTCCGGCCATGCTGAGGTGGCATCCCACATATAGCAACTAGAAAGATGTGCAGCTATGACATACAACTGTCTACTGGGGATTTGGAGAGAAAAAGGGAAAAAAAGGAGGAGGATTGGCAATAGATGTTAGCTCAGGGCCGGTCTTCCTCAGCAAAAAGAGGAGGATTGGCATGGATGTTAGCTCAGGGCTGATCTTCCCCGTGGAAAAAAAAAAAGAAAAAAAGAAAAAGATACACCTGGAAAATAATAACCTAAAAAAGCTGGTGTAACTATATTAATATCAAACAAAATTGACAAAGGATAAAAAGCTTAATCATGATAAAAGGAACAAACAGCCAGGAAGATATAATCATTTTAAACTTGCATGCTCCAAGAACAGGAGGTTAAAATGGGTCATTTAGTGTTGTCTCCATTACAGCCAAGGCCCCAATGCTGAGAACAAATGATGTTAAGATCCTACACATTACAAAGAAGGCAGTCCTTAAAAGGTAGCAGGAGAGGCAAACTCAGCCCATTACCCACCTTGAGGTTATAGAAGGAAAGCTTGATCATTGGTAGAGACTTGGTAGAAATAAGTGTAGGGAACTTCAAGAGAACTACACAGAGACTTTGACCCTTGTCCTCTAGAGTTTGGGTATGGAGGGGCTGACCCATGCCTACGTAGTCCTGAGGCAAGAGGACTTGCTTAGGGAGTTAGAGGCAACTATAACTCCTAAGGGCGGGCCGGCCCCGTGGCTTAGCGGTTAAGTGCGTGCGCTCCGCTGCTGGGGGCCCGGGTTCGGATCCCGGGCGCGCACCAGCGCACCGCTTGTCCGGCCATGCTGAGGCCGCGTCCCACATACGGCAACTGGAAGGATGTGCAGCTATGGCATGTAACTATCTACTGGGGCTTTGGGGGAAAAAATAAATAAATAATAATAACCCCTAAGGGCAAGAAGAGGGGTCCTGAGAAGAAGAAGCTTAATTTCCATAAAAAGAGGAGCAAAGACGCCTGTTTCCCATGGGCCAGATTGGGCCCCCTGAGATGAAGCCACACCTTGGTTGTCTTGAAAAGGACAAGGTGACCCAAACCAGCACAGTAGGTATAGCTGAAGCACAAGACAGGCAAGAAAGAAAAGAGTTCAGTTCAAGACATAAAGTGAATGCTTTTGAGAGATTGTGTTACATGCCAGGCCTCAAAAGTGATTAGATAGGATTCCTATCTTTTTGCGCTTTCGAGCCAATGGAGGATAAATAGGTATTCAAGTAATTTCCATATTTTGTGATGCTGAGGAGGTTAGGTTTTATCCTGTCGGGACTGGATGTCACTGCTATTGAAGGGCTGAAGCTGGGGAGTTGCACAATCAGATTTCGTAGCAATGTGGAGGATGAATATGATGGGGCCAGATATCGAGGCTGAGACCCGTTGGATCACAAGATCAATTGCTAAATTCAAAATGAGCCTAAGGGGCCTGGCCTAAGAAAGGGGTAATAGATATGGAAAAGAAGAGGCAATTCAAGCAAAATCTGAGCAAGAGACAAAACCCGGCTAAGCCTTAAGACTGACTGGATTTAGGAAGTGGGAGTGAGGAGAGAAGTCCAGATGACTCCCAGATTTTTGGGTGAAAGTATGTGGAAGTTACAACCATAAGAATAGATAATATTGCCCTGGGAGCAAGCACAGAGGAAGAAGAGCAGGGAACTCCAGCATGAGGTTGAGGACATTAGTAGGATAATGTCTAGGATATGGCTGCGGGCTTGAGCTGTTGAAGCCTTGTAAATCTTTGGAGCTGAGGATGTCCAAAAAAAGCTAGAATGTCTAAATGCTACTGACACAGATTTCTACTTTTAGATTGTAAACTCACATCTTAGGTTTATGAGCTAGAATTTCTATGATCAGAATATAATACATAAATCATACCTCATTGAGCGTCAACATATCTTCTACTTTGGTAGCACCACTTTCAGGCAGGGAAATTAACACGGTTTTGGCTATCTCCTTTAGAACTGTATCAATTTGCATTTCACACAAGTCACTGATCTATCAACAAGGAAAAAATGTGGAAGAAAAGTCTTCTTTCACCCAAAATGTACTTGAGTTATCAATTAATTTAGAGGGCTACATCTGGAAACTTGCATCCTAAGCCAAGCATAATTTGGTGGAAATTTTAGGAGTACATCTGCAAAGAAAGCTTGACCTGGAACTAAAGTTTTATTGAGCAGCAACGTGTGCCATAACCTCATCTCTGTTATCTCCTTGAATCCTCATTCCAGCTCATGAATCATTACTATCCCAGTTTTACCGCTAAAGAAACCAAGGCTCAGAGAAGTAAAGCAATCTGGGGAGGAACACATAACTAGTAAAAGGCAGAGAATCATACCTAGGTTTGTCTGAAGCCCAAGCCTCCGAGTTTTGTCTGTTACACCATGCTGCCACCACAGACAGACTAGCACATCTAAAAAGATATGCATGTTCTATGCAGCAAACGTCAGAAATCAATAGATTGTCTCCAGTTATATGACTGCCTCCTCTAATTAACATTAGATGCATTAATATTAATACTTAAGCATGCCATTCTGCCATCTTCCACAGTCTACAATTATCCTATTTTCTAAACTACACTGTGGAGTTGAACCATCTTTTATGTGTGTGTGTGTGTGTGTGTGTGTGTATGTTTGAGGAAGATTATTCCTGAGCTAACGTCTGTTGCCAATCCTCCTCTTTTTGCTGAGGGAGATTGGCCCTGGGCTAACGTCCGTGCCCATCTTCCTCTACTTTATATGTGGGATGCCTGCCACAGCACAGCTTGATAAATGGTGCAGAAGTCCACGCCCAGGATCCAAACCCGTCAACCCCAGGCCACTGAAGCGGAGTGCATGGACTTAACCACTACGCTACCAGGCTGGCTCCTACCGTGGAGTTGAACCATCATTTTGACATATTAAAGGCAAGGTAATTCAGAGACAAGAACAAGGCAACCCTAAGCGAAAAGGCCCCAAAGCAGTTAAAGAAAATGCAAAGCATTATTTTTTTTAACTTAATGGATGTCCTTTTGGTTAAAAGTCATACCCTTTATCCAGCCTTCATAATCAAACTATTACTTATAGCCTGCGTATTAATGTAGGTAGTTTTTAAAAATTTACTTATCATACCTTCTTTAAAAGTTGATTGAACATATCCAAAACTGAGTCAACTTCCTGAAAGAAGCTTTCTAGTGTTAAAGATGACCATGTTAATATTGTGAGCCCTTGTCTCAACACAGACTCCACCTAGAAAAAGAAAAAACACAACAGTTTCCATTATTAACAGGAGCATCTGCATTTATTTAAAAAAGGCTTTATTTTATTACCTGGAAATATTATAGGTTATATTTCCGTAATTATATTTCCCCTCCATTATACCTAGTAAAGGTGACTTTTTGTTTTTAATCATCTCTGGCTGTCCACAAAGCAATCATGGATTCTTAGAAAGTGCTCATTATTTAGATTTAGCTGTTTTTCAAAGGCAACAAAACTTAGACAAGAAATCATTCTGTAGGAAAAATAGAGCTATAAAATTGAACTGGAAAGATAGAGGGTCTAGGCAAGAATAGATGTTTTAAAATCCATAATCTATAGAGCCGGAATCTAATTTTAAACAACAGGGAAATCAATATAAATCTTCAGCATTACCAACCTTTTTCATTTTAGGGGTCATCAGATTGACAAATACAGAAGGCACTTCCTGACATAACTCATCATAATATTGCAGAAGACCCTGTTAAAAGTCAAAATGGCACGTTTTACTTTAATTTATTTTAAAGTAACAGTCATATTTTGATTCATACCAGGAATGTTTCATTATATGTGTTTCCTCATAGTCCTGCCAAGATGGAGGCTGCTCATTTAAATTTATACTAATTTACTGTAAATTACCTGAGCATCTCCTTTAAACAGTGAGTCAATGGAGCTTCCTAGATTTGCATTTTTAATATTTATTATTTAATTGGCTTTCTAGATTTATGCTATTTTAAATAGTTTGGATAATTATCTTTTCATGGTGCCTATCATTATACATTTTTCCCCTTTCTGTTCCTTGTCTTCCAACATATTAAAGCGTACTTATCACTGATGCTACATTTGTTTTCTTGAATCAAAATAAATGTACACATATTCAGAATTAATAAACTTTTCTATTTTCTTTTAGATATTTTTTAGACATGAACCACAATGATCAATTTTTGGCCATTTTTTAATTTATTGCACTATGTGATGGGAGATGTGGATTCAAATTAATTCTTCTCAAATTAATAATATTAAACTGTTTCAATGTTTACTTAATAGTTTCAAAGTTATTACTTCCTTTCCTCCTTTTCTGTTACTTTTCTGTAGTTGAACTTTTATGTATACTTGACACTTGGCAAAGGACTTTGACTTTCATGATATCATTCACTACTATCTAAAATCCTGTAAAACGTAATGCAAGTGATATTAACTTCAATTTAAAACAGTACTTTGACACTCAATCCTCAATCCTCCAAAGTCACAACTTGTTGTTAGTACTGTCAAGTCGATTCTGACTCCTAGCGACCCTGTGTATAGCAGAGCAGAACCCTGCCCAGTCTTTTTGCACCATCCTCTCATCTTCTGGTGCTGTTTCAAACAATGTTCTGTTGCTATTCATAGGGTTTTCATGACCAATTTTTTCAGAAGTGGGTGGCCAGATCCTTCTTGCTAGTCTGAAACCTATACAACATGGGCAACCCTGCTGGTAGGTGAAATACTAGTGGGATAGCTTTCAGCATCACAGCAACATACAGCTGCCACAGTATGACAACTGACAGACAGGTGGTGTGGTTCCCTGACTGGAAAATGAAACTGGGCAGTGGTGGTGAGAGCACCAAATCTTAACAACTAGACCACCAGGACTAAAGTCACAACTAGGTACAAAAACCTAGGGCTTTTGAAGCTGAAACCAAAGTTTCCACAATGCCAATGCTCTTCAGAGTTTTTTGTATGTATATAACATTTAAAAACTATTTTGGTAAGAGCTAAAACTACTAAAGTCTTAGAAGAAAGTATATGCATAAATCTTCGTGATCTTGGATTAGGCAAAGATTTCTTAGATATAGCACTAAAAACACAAGGGACAAAAGAAAAAGTAGATAAATTGGACTTCATCAAAATTTAAAATGTTCATGCTTCAAAAGACACTATCAAGAAAATGAAAAGACAACCCACAGAACAAGAGAAAATATTTGCAAATCATATATATGATCAGGGATTTGCATCCAGAATGTACGAAGAATTATTATAACTCAATAATAAAGAGACAAATAACTCAATTTAAAAATGGGCAAAGGGGGCCAGCCTGGTGGTATAGTGGTTAAGTTCGTGCACTCCACTTCAGCAGCCCAGGGGCTTGTGGGTTCAGATCCTGGGCGTGGACCTACACATCACTCATCAAGCCACGCTGTGGTGGTGTCCCACATACAAAAGAAAGGAAGGTTGACACAGATGTTAGCTCAGGGCCAATCTTTCTCACCAAAAAAAAAAAAAAAAAATGGGAAAAGATTTGAATAGACACTCCTCCAAAGACCTACGAATGGTCAATATGCACATGAAAAGATGCTCAACATCATTAGCCGTGAGAAAAATGCAAATCAAAACAACACTGAAATACCACTTCACATCCAAATTATATTCAAATGAAAAAGACAAATAATAAACAAGTGTTGGAAAGCATGTGGAGAAATTGGAACCCTCATACACTTAATCTATAAAATTATATTAAGAATATTTTTTTAAACTTGCTATTAAGGACCATTGTCCTTATCCAGAAGTCTAACTCTGATTTCTGATAATCTTTTCACTTTCTGCTTTCCAACTCCAATCTTTCCCTTTGTTTGCACATCAGCATTTTAATACTATCAAGAATCAAAAATGGAACAGAATAAATAGCCCAGAAATAAACCCACGCATCTATGGTCAATTAATTTACAAAGGAGCAAGAATATACAAAGGAGCCAAAAATATACAATAGGGAAAAGACAGTCTCTTCAATAAATGGTTTTGGGAAAATGGGACAGCCACATGCAAAAGAATGAAACTGGACCCCTATCTTATGCTATACACAAAAATCAACTCAAAATAGATTAAAGACTTAAATTTAAGACCTAAAACCATAAAACTCCTAGAAGAAAACATAGAGGGTAAGTTCCCTGACATCAGTCTTGGCAATGCTTTTTTGGATTTAACACCAAAAGCACAAGCAACAAGGGGCCGGCCCAGTGGCGCACGCAGTTAAGTGCACGCGCTCCACTGTGGCGGCCCGGGGTTCACCAGTTCGGATCCCCAGGTGCGTACCCAACGCACCACTTGGCAAGCCATGCTGTGGCGGCGTCCCATATAAAGTGGAGGAAGATGGGCACGTATGTTAGCCCAGGGCCAGTCTTCCCCAGCAAAAAAAAAAAAAAAAAAGAGGAGGATTGGCAGATGTTAGCACAGGGCTGATCTTCCTCACAAAAACAAACAAACAAAAAAAGCACAAGCAACAAAAGCAGAA